GAGGCACATACAAGTCCATTAAATATTTGTAAAATTATCTCAATATCATGTGTGCTTTACCTTTAATATTCATTCATGTAAATTTGAAGACAAGGCGTCAACTCCGCCCTCTAAAATGGACTTGAGATCCTTGACGATACCTACAAATGGAACACAAAAATGCAAAATTAGATCAATAATGACCGAAACTACTCTTAAAAACGGTTAAATGAAGTGACAAAAGGCCAAAACGCCATATTAAATGGGATGCAAGACTCCGCCCCCCACGATGACCTCTTCTAAACCTGAGGCACATACAAGTCCATTAAATATTTGTAAAATTATCTCAATATCATGTGTGCTTTACCTTTAATATTCATTCATGTAAATTTGAAGACAAGGCGTCAACTCCGCCCTCTAAAATGGACTTGAGATCCTTTACGGTACCTACAAATGGAACACAAAAATGCAAAATTAGATCAATAATGACCGAAACTACACTTAAAAACGGTTAAATGAAGTGACAAAAGGCCAAAATGCCATATTAGATGGGACGCATGACTCCGCCCCCCACGATGACCTCTTCTAAACCTGAGGCACATACAAGTCCATTAAATATTTGTAAAATTATCTCAATATCATGTGTGCCTTACCTTTAATGTTCATTCATGTAAATTTGAAGACAAGGCGTCAACTCCGCCCTCTAAAATGGACTTGAGATCCTTGATAGTACCTACAAATGGAACACAAAAATGTAAAATTAGATCAATAATGATCGAAATTACTCTTAAAAACGGTTAAATGAAGTGACAAAAGGCCAAAACGCCATATTAGATGGGACACATGACTCCGCCCCCCACAATGACCTCTTCTAAACCTGAGGCACATACAAGTCCATTAAATATTTGTAAAATTATCTCAATATCATGTGTGCCTTTCCTTTAATGTTTATTCATGTAAATGTGAAGACAAGGCGTCAACTCCGCCCTCTAAAATGAACTTGAGATCCTTGACGGTACCTACAAATGGAACACAAAACTGTAAAATTAGATCAATACTGATCGAAATTACTCTTAAAAACGGTTAAATGAAGTCTGTCAGTACATGTATATAGTAATTAACTTATGCAACAAAATAACTTATGTGGTGAATGCATAAAACATGCATTGTTTCACAAGTATGCACTTCCAGTCAGAAATTGATTACACAATACAGATCTGATTTTTAAATTTGGTACTCACAGATAGAGAAAAAAATTCCTTTCCAGCAATATCCCGTTTATGACAATGCACAATAAAATTTGGAAGTTATGGATGCTGTTTGGACGATTGCTCTGGAATACTAGTACAGAGAAAAGCCATTTTAAGTTATTTTCAATGTTTCCGTGTCATGCCCGTTCATGTAGTACATG